AGATCACACCTTCCACAGACTGAGGTGTCTTTGGTCTGGGGAACATTTGAGAAGCAGTCTCTTTAGCTCTGCTCCCAGCCTCCAAGATCAGACAGAAGGGAGCAGCAGGGCAACCCCAGCCCTACCTCTCCCCCTGCCCAGCCCATTCTGCAAGCTAGACAGTGCCTGGTTTTGGGAAGAGGCAGAGAGCAGTAAGATGAGGTCCCCAGTCTGTTTCCTAGACCAGGGATTGCCAGATCACTCTAGGAGGGGACTCATTGCCTACTCCCCAGACCAGGGTTCCCCAGTTGGGATATGGTAGGTTGTGAGGGCAGGGTGAGCAGGGGAGGGGGCAGGCTTGCCCTACTAACACCAGTGGCCTCCCAGAGTACACCATGGAGAAATGTGCAAGAGTTTTTTCTTGTATGAATTTCTCACCAGGGGAGATCTTCTATGTTGCGACAGGGAACATGTTTCCCCCAGGAGAAACTGAATGAAAGCTTATATGCTTCTAGGTTCTACTGAGTATGCAACAACTGTCCTGGTAGAAAGACAACACCTGTACATGGCCTTAGTTTTCAGATATGGTACTCATTCATGAGAGCCTCAAGATTTTTTTTGTATCTCTTCCTTTTAGTACTTACTTCTGGGTCAGGAGAGAAAAAAAAGTAGGTAGAGGAAACTATCTAGACTTCCCTTTTTCATCAAGTGGGAAGTAGTATATTCAACTTGTAGTGATTCATCTTAAATGTGAAAAAAAGTAAACTAAGCTCATTATTGTATGGTTAAAAGTACTGATTTCCTGGCCACGTAAAGAACAGACGCATGCTTCACGTTAATATTAAAGCACATGCATAACTCCTTTGTTAAACTGAATACAATCAGATAGTAACCTTTATTTAGATCCAAAATCTATTGTGTTCTCTCTTCAGCTTTAACCAGATGTAGAAGTAGTATATGAAAAGTAAAGCATTGTGGCTAATTAAAAAGGAATAAGGCAAGTTTGCTTTTCCAAGAGAAAAGAAAATACACCACCACAGAATGCTTCTAAAGTAAATCAGGTAACTCTTTAAAGCAAACAATTTCCACTGATGGATTTCATCTTAAAGCACGTATAAACTACATGATTTGTATAACTGATTTGCACAACAGGTACTACAATGTACTTACTTTGACAAGAAGAGGGAAATTGTGAACAACAGTGCCACAATAACAAAAAACACTCCCCACACAATCTAAAACAAAAAGAGAGACATTATTATCCAACTTAAAATGGTTTTTGACATTGCTATTAAACTTTACATAATACATTTTGTGTTAAATCAATCAATCAAGGATTTATTTGCGTGCTGTAATGCTTCATCAAAATAAGATTGCTTGGTGACTATTCCCTTTTTGAAATATACTTTGAAGCCTTATGAATAAAGGAAATAGTCTATGGGAAATCTCAGGGCACCTACATGCGTTCTGGATGTCTACTCAGACACGTGTTAATTAGCACATGTCAGAGCAGACTCGATTAACTGAGCCTGCTGGAGCATGCTAATTAGCGCACACACCATGTCTATTCAACATCCCTGCACTTCGAAGTTGCAGCGAGGTGCTTTAACTAAAGCTTGAGCAAGTCTCAGTTAAAAGCACCCCAGCCACCATTTTGAAGTGCAGGACACTGAATACATGTGACATTGTTGGCCTTTAAAATTAGACCAGCTCTCAGAACCGCTCCAATTAAAGCACTCCCCCCCCCCACAACCATCCTGGAGTATGTCTATAAATGCCCATGGGCAGAAGAAAAAAAAATTATTAAATTTAACCATATAGAAATAGGCCTCTGCCACACTAAGGTAAAAGATAGTAAGAAAAATGTATTGCTTTCATTGGTAGAAGAATTAAATTTATGAACAGAATTGAAAATCAGGTGTTAGGTTTCAATAGCATACACTTAAGAGACAATGAATTCTAGCTATATGCTACTGAAACAAACTTGAGATGGCACACCTACCTAATGCAGTGTTTATTGTGATATCCTTATACTCTTTATATTATACAGGCCATGAAAAAAGTTAAGTGCGTTACATAGGCAGACAAGGTTCTTTGGGTAAATCTGGTATCTTTTATTAGACCAACTCAAATAGTTGGAAAAGTTAGTCTTAGCCTGATGAAGGGTATTTATACCCTAAAGGTTGCTAAGAAGAAGATTTTTTCCAACTATTTGAGTTGGTCTAATAAAAGATACCAGATTTACCCAAAGAACCTTGTCTGCCTATGTCCTTAAACCAGTACACCTACAGCCTGCACTCCTGTAAATATGTTATGCATTATTTTTTATCTGGATCTGTAGTCTGTTGGAACAGCAAAGATTTCCTTCCTCAAAGCTTTGGGACCATATGAGAGAGGGTCCGATAAAGACCATCAAGGGAGTGAGAGCTCTACTTAAGGGCCTAAAAGACTCACTGGGGATTGCCTCAGTTTCAGGAGCTATGCCCAATAAAGAACTGAAACAATGCAATATTTGATCAAATATCCATGTTGTATACCTTCATTAAAAGAAACTTCTGTCTATGAGAATGCTTCCAGTTGCCCTTCCAAACAAGATACAGTATTTCAAAGGCCATATTTAACCTCACAGCCAAGTAAATATCATTTTTTTCCCCAAACTATATAGTCTGACTCAGATTTAAGCCATCTGAGGAAGGAAAATAAATCTTTATAGCAAGGTACTCCTGAGAACAGACCGGGGGGGAGGGAGGGGGGGAGATATCAACAAATGAAATGCATGACATCAAAAGAGACTTTTTTTGCATTGTAAAAAATTGGTTTTGGTTTTTTTTTTGTTTTTTTTTTTTTTAAACTTTTTTCTAAATTGTAACAGCCTATTAAAAGGCTCAGTCGCTTGTTTTCTCTCTAGAATTTTCAAAAAAAACCTACTTGAACTATGAGATCACAGACCCACATCCATTTGCATCAAAGTGTCATCACAAGCCTATTAAAATTCTTAAAAGAGCTAAGAATATGCATGTGGGAGACAAATACACCTTTGACTTTTTCCACTATCTTTGTAACCGCAACGAAACACTTATTTAAGAAACAGAACAGGCCTCCTTACAAGTATCATAATAGGACTTCTAGACTAGGATCAAATATAACATAGAATGTATTGAAGTGGTAGTTAATTACCTCTAATGACTAGCTTTTACAGATTTGATCCCCCTTCTTGTATAAAAATATTGACAGGTCACTTTCTGTATCTTTGTATGAAGAAGAGTGGTTCAGAGTTGTATTATAGCAAGGATATTTAAAAAAAAAAAAAAAAAAAAAAAAAAAAGGGGTGGGCATAGGGGGCGTGGAGGGGTGGAAAGGAAATATCCTATATAGTTGAATAAGATGACCCTGAACATAAAGACAATGCCCCCCCCCAGTAACTGGATCGATTTATGGAAGACTTATAAAATGGATCAAAGTTTTCCAGGTATACAATCTAATTTTGGAAGCTTCGCCTTGAATTTGTCCCTCTCCCACTGCTACAGTAGGGAAAATAAGTCTGAGGGTTCAGCTAGCCCCCTTGCCCTCTGCCATCCCATTCCCCCCCACCATCTTCCACCTGATGCCCCTGCCCCTCCCTCCGATCAGACCCAGCTCTCCCTGAGCACATGGAAGTGAGGAAGGAATTTGAAAAATGCTGACCTTGAAATAAACATAGCTGTGGCAATTTACATATAGTACCCATAGAATTAGTTCATCCAGAATTGATGCACTGTACCCATTTTGAAACTGCTGCAGGTTTTAGCACAGGTACTCCAAAAACACAATTAAGCAACACTTTTGTACCTGCATATATATAGTACGACACTTGACCTGAGCCTTCAAGAGGCCAAGAAGCAAATATGTGATAACAGTCCAAAGTCAAAAGGCTCATGATTTGCCAAGCAGTTCATTGGGCTAGGCCCCACCAGAGTCAACAGCATTTCAAGCCATGGTCACCCCACAGCTCAGTACATGCATGTACTCCTGATACCTCCTACAAAAAGGAGCCATGTTTTAATTAGCTCCCCACTAGAACCAGGTGTTCTTGTCAAAAGTCCTAACATCCTCCCAAAGTGTATATGCAGATGAGACGCAGGGCAGCCTGGTCTAGCATGCTGAGAGAGGGAGTGAGATTCTGGGTGAACTGTTTGAGGCTCCATCTGGTGATGTTTTCTAGACATTTAAAGCTGGTGAAGAAACAGGAATCATTTGAAATGGGAAAGAAAGGCACAGCTCAGCGGGAGTGAAGAAGTTGAAAAGTATTCAATCTAGTGGTTCATCAAGACTTGAAAAAATAGTCGGCACTGAGGAGGAATGCAGTCATGGGGAACTACCATGCATCTTATACAGGTGGGCTGCACTAACCCATCCTTGTGCTAGGTTCCCATCAGCATATTCACCCAATGTGGGCCATGCATTTTAGTCATACTCAGTATTAGTTGCATGTAAATTAACTTCATAGTTGGTTTCCATTACTAAGCACATGCTGCTTTCAATCAATCATTAAACTGCTGCCAATATATTTAATGAGGTTTCCTTGTGTGCAAATATAAGATGATGATCTTTTTTCCCTATGCCCCCCCCCCGCCTCCACCCATGCTGACTGTGGGGGTGGGGGTGGGGGTGGGGGGGAGAATTCATCTTGTATTCAAGTAAATATATTAAGGGGGCCTCCATCATCCATTGGAGATAATTATTTCAGACTGGATAACCCAACTCCATTCTGAAGGAATATGCATAATTCACTCTTAAGAGCCACTGAAGACAGATTTCACAATTGTTTTAAGTAGCCTATTATAACACTTCAATAGTTATATTTAGAAAGAAAAACTCCTAACCAAGATCTCACTTGCTATAAATCAAGTAAATTATTTTTGGTTCAATTTAGAACAAAACGACGAAGACTGCTATCCATTTAAAAAGCCTTCCATACTGAAATACTTGTTACCCTTGAGTGTTCTCTCTTTCTAGACTATACAAACTTACATCTTTTACCCGTCCTTTTTTTGAGATTAGACTGACTGGCCCAATTCCATTTCTCTCTACCTTTTAATAAATTTGTACTATATTTGTCTTTTCTCCAGAATTTTGGATTTCATCCGTCTTATCTAAGCTGTCACATAAATCACTAATGGCTCAGAAACTGCTCTTACTAGCTCCTTTAGTACTCTATGATAATATCAGGTTCTGCTTTAAAAAAAAAAAAAAAAAAAAAACGGAAGAAGTTTTTTTAGCCTATTCTCCCCATCTTTTGCCCTAAATTTCAGAAACTAGAATTAATTCAATTGTATGTGCTTCCTAGCCAGCTGCTTAACTGAAAAGTAACAGGAACAGCAATTACATAAAAATTAAAATGAAGTTTTGCAGGGTCAGATAACTTTTATGCAAGGAGTATTGTTTAAAAAAGGTCGATGAACCATTGATGTTAAATTAGAAACACTAGGAAGGTTCAGTAGTCTGGGAAAAGCTCTTGTGCCCAGTAGTTTTAATAGCTTTAATAGATTTAAAGTATTTAAATAGCCTTTAACCTCACAGGCTATGGGTACTAGTCCCTCCTCACCCCTGCCCTTCCCCTCCTCCTTACCCCTCCCTCCTGCCTGTCCATTCCTGAAGCACTACACCACTTCCCTTCCCTGCCTGTTCCTGAAGCACTACACCACTTTCCTTCCCTGCCAGACTGTGCCCTGCACTAAATGTTAATTGGTAATGCATAGCAGATATAAATATACTATCATTTAAACATTTAACACCCCAATTACAGGTTTGGCTAACATTGTTATTTTTTAATCTAATATCTTAGTCCAATGCCATGTGAACTAAAATAAGAGACCACCTCCACGGGTTCATTCCATCATCATGATCCTCCCTATTGTCAGGGCCTCAGCTGACATTAGAAGTTCTGCCCATGCCCCAGGTTTGGTTAGTGAAAATACATGGAAGGCTTTTCTCAGTAGTTGTTTCTCAGCTTTGAAACTCCCTTCCCCTTGAAGTCCCTTAGAGACTAAACCTGGCTCTCTTTCAGAAGTGCTGTAAGAACTTTTTATTTGGGCAAGCTTTTAGCAAGTGGGTTTTGTTAAGTTTGGGGATATTGTTTAAGGAGTTGTTTTATTACACAGCATATTTTAATATTTTTAGAATGTATCTTGTTTTTACTGTAAACTACATGACACTTTTTGGGAGCGTGGTATATAAAAATCAAGTAAGGAATAAA